GATGATGATTAAAGCTAATAGAATGATTAATGGTGTAATGAAATTGTTTGCTAAGACACATCTAAGAAATATACAAACACAGTTTAACCTATTCAATTCAATTGTATATAATTCAGTGAGCTACGCATCACCATTTTGGTGTATGGCCAACTATCAGAAACTGGAGATTATCCAGAACAAATTTATTCGAAGATTGTTTTGCTTGGAATATAAAATTCCGGGGAGTGCTTTAAGGTTAGAAGTAAGCAGATACAGTCCCACTGCATTATTTATCAAGAGAACTATGATGCTGTTAATGAAGATAAGAGATAGTGGAGATATTTCATTCAATCTGCTACAACAGTTATATAAGTATTCTGTACAGAAGAATTCTAAAAGGAATTGGATAGCTCAAATTTCAAGAGTGATCAATAGTTATGGTTTCTCAATTGCTCCATTTATCTTTTCGCCGAATCTAAGTGAAGATTTGTGTAGTCAGCTAACGCATAGCATTTTAGATATTCTATTATCACGTGACATAGAAGACAACCGTTCACGTTTAAAACCAAACTGGTATGGTTCACTATTGAACTATCCAAATATTAATAATTATATTCTATCGAATCTACCTTTTGTTATAAAACGGTTTTTTATTCAAATACGTCTAAATTCAGAAATATTAATGTTAAATAATAAATTCTACTCGTATGCTGATAATTTATGTCCTAGATGTAATATGGAATTTTCAAAGTATCACTTGTTTTGCCAATGTGAAAAGAGCTATGAGTTAAAAAGGAAATTTGATTTGTTAAGTTTAAGTGAGTGCAGATCGGTGGAAGAAATGTACTATATTTTCCATAGAGCAACAACTCGATTAATAGTTAATTTATACAACTATGTTAAAACTTTTGTAAATATTTAGAAGGAAAATATTATTGTAATAATACTATGTAATATGTTATATTATTTAAGTTTATGGTTCTCCCATTGTAACAGGCAATTGCCGTATTACAAATAAAGCGTAATTTGGATTGAATTGGATTGGATATGTATTAAAAGCTTTAAAATACAGTAAACATGGAATTTTTCTACCACTTAAAGTAAAATTGACATATTTACTGATAGGCAGTATCAGCGTTGACATGGAATCCCTAGAGAAGACATCAAGTGAAACGTCGTTGGTGTCAAGTAAGAAGAAAGTTAAGATCCCTGTGGATGAAGAGGTTGACCCAGTGAAGGACTTTTTATATCAGATCTGTCCTATTAACGTACGAGGATGGCGCAAACTTATCTGGTGGCGTCGTGTACTTGAGATCTGCAAGGTAATTCCCGATTTTTGGTCATAGAAAGTGTATTTTTTCACATAACTTCCTTCGAAAAAAAAGCTATTAACTATACTTTTGTACAAGGAAAATTTAATATTCTGGATTTTAAACCATTGTTTTCCTGTAATACATTAAAAAATTCTATTTAAAATCTTTATTTTATTGCTATACATGATACAGACATGCTTATTTATTCTTTGTTACTAAAAATCAATATTTCTATTGTTAAATTTCTGTATTTAGAATATAAGATGTGAAGTTTTTCATATAAATTTTCTAAAAAGGTGAACTTAATGTTATTGTTTTACAAAAAAAAATTGTTTTTCTCTAATTTTAAATCTTTTTTCTTTATAAAGCATTAACACTACTTAAAGCTCCATTCTTATACGTGTTTATTTGCTTTTGATTATTGATTAATCATCAGAGTTATACTGTAATTATCATTTCCTGGGTATCAGAAATAAATTTTTAAAATAAATTCCTTGAAATGTTGTTTTCGTTAAAGAAAAAATACAACTTTGTATCAAAGTAAATTAAATTTTACAAAAGAAATTTGATTTGATTTACTCTGATTTCACATTACCTAACATTAAAGGAATAGTATTTGAATTTTTATACTGTACTATACAGTTACACGGTTAAGACATGTCTATTTGCTCTTTGTTATTGATCCACCAGATAAACATCAGAATTGATATCATGTATTATTGTAGTAAGACAAAACTAACATTTGCAATTCTTTCCATTCCAGTGCCCTGTGATGTTACTTCTTACGATTACCACACCTGTTTTGGATGTAACTAAACCAAAACAGAATTGGTGTCGTTATCTCAATGTATTACACTGCATTACTGGCCCTTTGTTCATTTTAATGGTTACTGGATGTAAGTAAATGTTGTTTTTCTTCACTAACATAAATATGAGTATAGTTAAAATCCTTTAATTTATTTATGTATAGATGCTCTTACAATGATTGGAGGCAAATTTCCACTAATTTGTATAATTTTAGTGATTTGTTTGATCTTAGCTGCTATAGTATTTTTCACAAGTGAAAATGATAAGCAACCAAAATATCATTGTGCATTTTCTTATTTGGGATTTTTGATTGCTGTTATATGGATTTATTGCATTGCTAATGAAATTGTAGTTTTGTTGCAAGTAAGTTAATTATTTAAATAATTAAAACAAACTCTAAAAATACAATTTTGCTAAAAAATTCAATTTTACATTGTTTTTTAGGCTGTAGGAATTGTTTTCAATCTCAGTGACACCATAATTGGTTTAACCATTTTGGCGTGGGGAAACTCTTTACTGGGTAAATTATTATTTTTAATAATTAAAAAAATTAAAAATACATTTTACATTTTATAAAAATAATACACTTTTCTATATATATTTTAAAAGATTTCCTTTCAAATGTGACTGTTGCAAGGAAAGGTTTTCCAAGAATGGGAATTGCAGCTTGTTTTGGAGCACCGTTCTTAAGTATCTTTTTTAATAAATGAAAATAAAATTAAATTACTGTCAAAACTTTAAAAAA